CGATTTCCCCCCCCTTCAGTCTTCCCCTCCTGCTATCTTCTTCTTTTTTTTCTTAACATATATTGCATTATTTGTTTCAGAGGTACAGAACTGTGATTCAACAGTCTTAAACAATTCACAGCGCTCACCATTAGATGGGTACTAAGGAGGGCACTTGTAATGAGCACTGGGTGTTAAAATGCAACTATTTTGTAATTTTTCACATGTGGAAGTAGTTCCACAGAACTAGGCTTATAGCACCCATGAGACTTACCATTAAGTGGCAGTGTCTTCACTAAATTCAAACGTTCATTAGGTGTGAGCTCAATCCCCAAGTTTTCCAAAATACTTTCAAGTTTATTAGCATCAACGTTGCCTCCTTTGAAAGAAAAATGAATTATTGACACATGGCAATTTTAGGACATTATAATGATCCAAAATAATGAAAAATCTGGTTTAAAGAATGCCATCCTAACTTTCATATTCTCACATATTCCAATAGTGTTTAAGGATAATGAGGCAGAACCTATTCCTTGATTCTTCATAAAGAGTGGTCTCCTGACGGATTACAGGCAAGATGGCGGAGGAGTAGGAGACCTGGATTTCGTCTGGTCTCAGGAATTCAGCTGAATAGGGATCAAACCATTCTGAACACCTACAAACTCAATAGGAGATCGAAGAAGAGAGTAGCAACAACTCTCTGAACAGAGAAGCGACCACTTTCTGGAAGGTAGGATGTGCAGAGAAGTGAATCCGAGGCGGTATTTGGGAGGATAGACGGCGGGGGAGGGGGCCACCCTCGGCTGCTTCTGGCAAGTGCTAGAGCCGCGGAGCACAAAATCGGGACTTTTAAGAAGTCGGCTCCGCTGAGGGACGTCGCTCCAGTGGCTAAGCAGAGGGTGGAACCCTCATGGGACAGTGTGGTCTCAGGACCCTCGGGGTCACAGAAAGACCGGGGGTGCCTGAGTGTGGCAGAGCTCCCAGGTATCGGAGCGGGGAAGCCAGTTGCAGAGACGGAGCCGAGGCGTGGGCTCTCAGCTCGGGGTTGCCATAAACTGTGATCTGCGGCCCAGTCGGGCCACTGCTCCTTCAGCAGGGACCCAACAAGCGGCAGAGCTGGGGAGACTCCCCTTCCTCCCCTGGGAGGAGTGGTGCGGGAGCGAACCGCAGGGATCTGCTGGGTTTGGAGACTCCACACGGGGTCGGGTGCCAGAGATAGAAATGCTCGGTTACAGGCCGGGTGAGCACAGAGTGCGGCCGGAGACCGGGGAGACGGGAGTGACTGCTTTTCTCTGGGGGCGCACTGAGGAGTGGGGCCCCAAGTTCTCAGCTCCTCTGAGTGGAGATTGGGAGGTCACCATTTTCACCCTGGTCCTCCAAAGCTGTACCAGAGCTTGCAGGGAAAAAAAGCTCCTGAGAGCCAACCCGAGCAGCTTACTTAGCTGTGACCGAAAAGGGTGGGGCAATTCCGCCTCTGGCAAAGACATTTGGGAACCACAGCAACAGGCCCCTCCCCCAGAAGATCAGCACGAACAGCCAGCAAGCCAAGACCAAGTTTACCGATCAAGGAGAACCGGAGAACTCCAGTGCTAGGGGAATACTGCACATAGAATTCATGGCTTTTTTACCATGATTCATTAGTTTTTCAAAGTTAATTTTTTTAACTGTTTTTTTTTCTTTTTTTGAATTTTTCTTTTTCCCTTTTTCAACCAACATCTTATCAATCCCTTTTTTAAAAAAACATTTTTTATTTTTCATTTTTAGAGTCATATTTTATCCCTTCATAGTAGTTACCCTTATTTTTGGCATATATATATAAGTTGTTCTCTCTTTAAAATTTTGAGATACAGTTTCTTCTAACAGATCAAAATATATCCTAAATCACTAGTGTATGGCTTTGTTCTAGTCTCCTGCCTGATCACATTCTCTCCCTTTTTTTTTTTTAAATCTTCTTTCTTTTTTCAAACAACTTCTTATCTTATCAATTCCTTTTATAAAATCTTTTATAATTTTCATCTTTACAGTCATCTGCCATCCCTTCATTGTATCAACCCTTATTTTGTACATATATAAGTCTTTCTTCCTTTAAAATTTTAGGAGGCACTTTTTTCAAACAGACCAAATACGCCCAAAATCCAGTATGTGGCACTGATCTATACACTAGCCTGATCATATTTGATCATATTCTGTTTTTTTTGTATTGTTCTGTTTTTGTTTTTTTTCTCTTTCTTTTCTCTTTCTTTTTTCTTTCTTTCCCTTTCTTTTCCCCTGGTTTCAGGTCTTTTCTGATTTGTATAGAGTATATTTCCTGGGGACGTTGTTAACCTGTTAGCATTTTGTTCTCTCATTCATCTATTCTCCTCTGGACAAAATGACAAGACGAAAAAAATCACCTCGGCAAAAAGAACAAGAGATAGTACCGTCAGCCAGAACCTACTCAATACGGACATTAGTACTAGGTCAGACCTAGAGTTCAGAATCATGACTTTAAAGATACTAGCTGGGTTTGAAAAAAGTGTGGAAGTTATTAGAGAAACCCTTTCTGGGGAAATAAAAGAACTAAAATCTAACCAAGTCGAAATCAAAAAGGCTATTAATGAGGTGCAATCAAAAATGGGGGCACTAACTGCTAGGATAAATGAGGCAGAAGAGAGAATCAGCGATATAGAAGACCAAATGATGGAAAGTAAAGAGGCTGAGAAAAAGAGAGAGAAACAACCACAGGATCACGAGAGCAGAATTCGAGAGATAAGCAATACGATAAGATGAAACAACATTAGAATAATTGGGATCCCAGAAGAAGAAGAAAGAGAGAGAGGGGCAGAAGGTATATTGGAGCAAATAATAGCAGAGAACTTCCCTAATTTGGGGAAGGAAACAGGCATCAAAATCCAGGAGGCACAGAGAATCCCTCTCAAAATCAATAAAAATAGGTCAACACCCTGACATCTAATGTAAAACTTACGAGTCTCAGAGACAAAGAGAAAATCCTGAAAGCAGCTCGGGAGAAGAGATATGTAACCTACAATGGTAGAAACATTAGATTGGCAACAGACCTATCCACAGAGACCTGGCAGGCCAGAAAGGACTGGCATGATATCTTCAGAGCACTAAACGAGAAATATATGCAGCCAAGAATACTATATCCAGCTAGGCTGTCATTGAAAATAGAAGGAGAGATAAAAAGCTTCCACGACAAACAAAACTACAGGAATTTGCAAACACGAAACCAGCCCTCCAAGAAATGTTGAAAGGGGTGCTCTAAGCAAAGAGAGAGCCTAAAAGCAGCATAGATCAGAAAGGAACAGAGACAATATACAGTAACAGTCACCTTACAGGCAATACAATGGCACTAAATTCATACCTTTCAATACTTACCCTGAATGTAAATGGGCTCAATGCCCCAATCAAAAGACACAGGCTATCAGATTGGATTAAAAAACAAGACCCATCCATATGCTGTCTGCAAGAGACTCATTTTAGACCCAAAGACACCCCCAGATTGAACGTGAGGGGGTGGAAAACCATTTACCATGCTAATGGACACCAAAAGAAAGCTGGGTTGGCAATCCTTATATCAGACAAATTAGATTTTAAAACAAAGACTGTAATAAGAGATGAGGAAGGACACTATATC